GGCTTTCTTCTGTGCATTTACTTTCCTCGTAACTGTTTATAGGCAGCAACGGATATAGTAGCAGCGTGGAAGTTGTGTTGCCATCGTACGATCGCAGTGAGCGTTCTGTATGCGTAGTCGTGGTCATCGACGACTGCGCGATAGAGATTTATGTCGGCTAGCAGCGGGAAGCCGCCTGTACCACCCTCCGGTGGAGTGTCCACTCCTCCGAATCGAAACGGTGGTGGAACGTACGTGGACCTAATCGACCCGTTCGTCAAGCGTTCGAGTATCAAACGAAAGCAGAAGAAGTTGCAGGGCTCTTCACATTACAAGAACGATCTGGACGCCGAGCTGGAGCCTCTGCCGTCGTTCAAAGGTACGAAATAGTGTTGTGATCGGTCAGGCGGTTTGTCGGTGATCACTGAGCCACTCGTTGTGTCATTTTAGATGTACAGTCGGAAAAGGTGCTCGAGTTGTTCATCCAAAAGATTCAGTTGTGTCAGCACGTGTTCGATTTCATGGATCCCGTGTCGCAAGTGAAGAGCAAGGAGGTGAAGCGTAACACGCTGACCGAGCTGATCGACTTCATATCTACCAATAAAGGGGTGATCGTCGAGCAGGTGTATTCCGAAGTTGTCAACATGGTAAACTTTTCAGCCTTTGTTTACACTGTTGTGACGTTGTTGTTGTCACCGTGCAGCGGCTCAACGTCTGGTGCGGTGTATCGCGCTATAGTTGCATGTGTGATTCTCTTAACGTGTCTTCTTCTCTCTTGTCAATCTCTCGCCTCATGCCTCATTTCGGCTACATCGACCTGTGTGCCCACAACAGTGTTGTGTGTTGCCGCTGTTACTGCCATTGCCGTTGTTTTTCCTCCTTTTTCCCTCAAACATGCTTCTAGCACCAGCTGTGCTTGGTCTGTTAAAGATGGCAAACCTTCTCGTTCGCCAAAGAGGGATTTTTGTGTCCAACTTGCCACGGTTTCTCGTTTCGTTTCGGTGACGATCTTGAGGACGAGATTGTAACCTCACAACATGATCATGAAATGCGTTTCGCGTTTGTTTGTCGACGTGTAGCAAGGTTCAACGATGATCGAGCACTTCGTCGGTGAGCATTGTTCTTGGAAACGCCGTTACTTTCGATCTTGCTTGGTTTCACCTCGATTTTCTTATTTATATGAAAATTTTACGACGCTCAGCGTTTTTTCCATTTCGCTATTTTTTCTCGTAGCAGTGGACCCTGCTTAATCATTAGGGCAATATCAACTTTCCTAGTAATTTTAAAAACGGGCGAAATTTATTTTTTTAACAATAATTCACAAAAAACAATATTAATGAACGATTGCGTCAAAAGGAGTTGTTCTGTAATGCCGTCGATGTTTTTCTTTTTTTTCTGTTCGACGGTGCCTAATGTAGAGGTAATTGTAGATGTGTGTTTTCTCGTTTTGTTCTTGTTTTGCCAGCCAAACGAGTTGTCTTGTTCAAAATCGATCGACCGCCCGCTAGTCGTATAAGTGGCATTTGTTTCTTTGCCTTGCTGGTGGATGAGGTGTGAAGAAGTAGGCGGAAACAGTAGGCTGTTTGTCGGTTGTTACCAGGAACCGAAGGCCCTGGCTAGGTTGGGGCATCCATCGCAACGACGTCTTTTTTCTTGTTGCCTTTTTTCCTGTCGTTCGGCCATGCTTTTCTGCCATCATCGAAGCATTTGGCCACGGGACGCACCAAACGACAGTTGCTTTTAACGGCCGCTGACGTTCTGAGCGAGTCTTCACCACCGAACTCATTTTTAAAAAACGATTCATTAAACATCGTATTGATGACAGCCGACCACTAAACCGCGAATTTCTTTCGTGACCAGCACGTTTTTCGGCCACTCAGCAGCCGCAAGCCTCGAAACTTGAACTACATACCGCTAAGATTCTCATATGTGCATTTTTTATTGTACGTCTAGTGTGAATGTCTAGTTATACATAGTGATACTTCGTTCACATTCTCTGCCTGTAGCCGATGGAATTGGGGAGGGCGGATGCAGGGAATTCGCGTATCTGAGGGAATGGGAAGTCGAACCGAATTCCCATTCGGTTCGAGCCCAATTAGGGTGGGGTCATTAGTTTTTTTTTCTCTTGAGGTAGGTAAATGAGTACAATTCTGTAGGAAGGA